AAACTTTATGTGATCAAAATAAACCGCTTAATATATAATTTTAACAGATTGAGGATGTTGTGGCTACTCCAAAACCAAATTAAAATTATAAGATCACTAGACAATTATGAAATTCTTGCCTAAACTTTATGTGATTAAAACTTAATAATCTTAGGTAGCTGAATATGCTGTAGCTATTCCTTAATTAACCAAGATTGAAAACTTATGAGACTTCAGTAAATTAAAGATGCTTTGGCTATTCTTTGATGAACCGAAATCAAATCACATTGGCAAGGAATACTTAAAATTTTGATAAACAGAATATACCAAATTGTGATGGGAAAATCTAAATATACTCCAAGGAAAGGTGGTTAGAGACTAAATCTCACTGAAAACCAATTCCTTAGATAGAGTATCAATTTAAGGAGACTAGTGGCACAAGATGTTCTTAAGTCATGGCCATTAAAACTAGTATGTCTCACCGATTCATATATACTTAATGTATAACTGTTTGGGGTATAAACCAGTAAACTGTATGGTATACACCAGAAAACTGTAGGGTTCACCTATGATTAAAGCTTAAACGGTGAACTAAAAATAGCGGACTAAACGTGCTTAAATTTAGGCACTACCGCAACTAAAGTTTATGCGTAAGTCCAACTTAAATAGGAACTAATATAATTCCATCTCAAAGCAATTTACAATATGAGATTTTAAAGTATAAACTTAATATTCAAACACCGATGAGTCCAAACCAAAAGAGACCCAACATTTTGAATAATAATGTACTGAATATATACTTTAAAATTTTTTAAACTGTAAGCCCATGGTAAAATGTTTTAATGCATAAAGATCAAATTCATGAGAAATAACTGAATTTACAAATTTAAACAATATCAAACCAAAATGATATGCTATCATTTGTAAATTAAAATCTCATAAACCCTAATTACATAATTAAACTTAATGTACTTAATGTGATCGAATGCATAAAACACTCTAAAGAGTATGAACTAACTCAAGAATATGAATTTAAACCAAATATTCATTTATTCATACTTAACCAAATATGGACAATCACAATTCAAGTAACTAAATGAATTATGGAATTAATGGCAATAGTCAATTGCCTAAAAAATATGTTTTTCCAAAATTACTAAATTGATTCAAAATCACTCTCCATAACCCAGTTGATAATATTATTATTATTAATGGCAAAATTGCGAATAACCAAAATAGCAATAAATAGCCATAATAATATTATCACATTAAGTAGGAGACTAAATATGGAAAAACAATGGTTAAAACCACTAACACTTATAAATGTTTTCGGATAAAATTTTGAAAACTTAATAAAATTTGAAGTCCGAAAAATATTAATGTCCAGAAAATTATTTTCTGAACTGAAGTATTGTCACATAAATTTATTTGAAAACAGTTCAAGGTACACATCTGAATACCATAAAAATGCTAATGTCATCATTAATTATTAATAGTAATAAGTAACATTATAATCACTATTAACATTAATAATAACGACAAATCAAACTATGGTGATGCACCTTTTAAATGTTTGCATTTTTCTAAAGATAAAATATGTGACTAGTCCAAATTAGCGGTTAACTGTAACTGTAGCACTTATTATCAATACTAACCATAAAAGATAATTAATGGCTAACCTTAATGATGCAAACCGCATCTGCCCATTGCGCTAACAACGATGACGATCCACAAGAGAAGAAAAGACTCCAAAATTCTCACAATCTTCACTATCGGTGTCAATAAACTCGATGCAGCGTCCAATGGTACGTTAAAAAAATTTATTGGTAGGACTTAATTACCAACATTAATATAATAGTCATGTAAAATGAAGTGGTAATCATGCCAATGTACCAAATATAGTAGATTGCCTTCATTAATATAATAATTATTATGGAAGGTAATAAATGAGATTAGCCCCTAAACTTAATAACAGTGATTAATAATGTCAATTAATAATAATTACAATAAAGGCAAAACTGTAATTAAGGGATGCCAAATACTAATCTCAATTTTACCACATAATAATTAACCATGACTATTATGATACTTATGGAGACTAAAATTAAGGTAATAACCAAATTACCATTATATAGACAATATAACTATATTGCTTTTGCCATAAAATTAAAGACTTAGTATTATTATTAAGGCCCTGAAAAACTATTGATAGATTAAAAATTTAATCAACTTAAACAATAGTTATAGTTCTTAATGGCCAAAATAACAATTAAATCCTTAATGTCTCTAAACAGGCCAAAATAATAATTATAGCACTTAATCACTCAAATTAGGCACATAAACCTCAATGACCCAAGTGAATTATAACATGAATAAAAAATGATCTAATACTAAAGTAGACCCAAAACTTAATATTATTACCAACGATGAATACCAAAAATGGTAGTTAGTAATAAATAAAAACTTAATAAACATGTTATAAACTCAAAAAGAGCTATAATTATTATTTAAATATCAATCAAAATTGTGGGATCCATACTTTAATGACCCAAGATAGGTCCCAAATAGCTTGTTCAAAATAGGTTCTAAAGTCCCAAAGACATATAGAACTAAAATATGTCCAAAATTAAGGGAAAACCACAACAAGCTACCTTTAATAGGCCGTAATGACTAAAATTGGCCTAATGGTCCATAATTGAATGATATTTGATATAGAGACTATGAGTTAATAATATGTTATACCCAACCTTAATATATGCTTTTCTAAATGTACAATTATAATAAAATAATTTATGAATACAAAGCATGCTTGAATTTTACATATTGATATAATATTAACTCATAAATCCTAAATAAATTGCAGTACTTCAAGCAATTTAATATGCACCTTAAAATTAAATTAAAATTCAAACGACAAATTAAAACTTAATATTTGTCCCAAATTGAATGATAATTTAATAATAAATTAAAGATAAATCAATTAATTAGAAGCAATTTATTTGGAGAATGAACCAAAGACCCAAATCTTCTAATATAATAAAGCAGAGCCAAAAATTCCCGCCAAAAACACTGGAATACCAACAGTCTCACCAAACCCTTGTGATTAACATTAAGTGGAGAATACCCACAGTCTCACCAATTAATTGCCCGTTCAATTTCCAATAAATATTAATACCGAACAATTATTGCTATATGTATATACACAATCAAAAAATGCACTATAAATAGTTTACTGATAAGGAGATGAAGGCACATATCGAGATGGGAAAGGTATACACTTGCAAACGCCATGGTACTTAGATGATGAGGAAATTTGGTTCCTAACTAATAGGGCTGCTGTGTTCTTGGGGATGGGAAAGGAATACACCTTTATTTGTAATTTTTGGTGTTTATAAAATGAATTTGTGTTGATTCTTTATCTCAAATATGTGTTGATTCTTTATCTGAGGTCCTATTCATTTTGAAACAAAGCAAAGGTAGATCCAAACAAAGCAAAGGTAGATCCAGGTAAATCCATGGCCTTCAATTATTTTTAGGGGGAGGGGGGTTGCTGACTTCCAATTCCATCCCCATGATTAAAAAATAAAAAAAAGTATGCATAAAGCAGGCACCAAATCTATAATTCTCACAATCTGCATGTCCATCCAAAACTCCATCCTGTAAAACCCAAAACCCAAAACCCACCCATTAATGACAAGTGTAACAAAAGTAGAAACTAAAATATTTGAATTTTTTTTTTGAATATTATATGATCTAAAATGTAAAATTAAATATATCAACGATGATATATACCCGAAAATAGATGCAACTAATTTTTTCCGCTCATTTCATATTTATATTTTAAAAAAAGATGTATTAGATAATTGCAGGTCAGGAAGAAGCTAAATAGACTAGCAGTATTTACTGTTAAAACTATTAGAGGGAAATGAATTATTCTTTGACGGATAATATAGGCTGCATATTAAAAAAAGGGGAAATAACTCATTTTGTTTAAAACAGGATGAAATCATACGCAGGTTACTATTAATTTAAACAAATTAAATTTATAATAGATTGTAAAATACTTTCTTCGATTACTCGATTTGTCAAAAATATTTGTCAAAATTTCCAAGGATCTGTATACTCAAAGCGGGTAACACATAAACAAGAAAAAAACTTATCTTTTAGTACATCCCTTTGTTTTTGCAGGTCAGTTTGTTCTAACCTAAGACTGGAGACAACACATATGTTAATAACATAAGGCAGATCCCGTAAAAGTAGTTCGCTGCTTGGCGAACGGAGTTGCTTTCCGCTGTGAAGAAATCACCCATCACCGTCGACGATTGCAAAATAACGGATAACCGACAAAATAGCCATGCAGCGAAATGAATTCTCAGAATTGGCTAGAGAGAAGACGGAGAATATCGGAAGATGAAGAGTAAAATTTATGCTATTAGGGTTTGATGGGGGGTATTTATATGCGGTTTAATGTGCTTATAGTATATGGGCTGGCCCATCTGCACATTTTAAGCAATAAATAACAGGCTGGCCCACTTTTATATATATATATATATATATATATATATATATATATATATATATATATATAATCTTAAATTGAAACTTTGTATTAAACTTATAATATATTTTATTATTTTTAGTAATTATCGACCTTAAATATAAATTTTAATTGTAATTACAAATGATTATGTTCATAACTTCATTGTACCAAATCAACATAATTATTAAATAATAATGCTTTATAAATGAATAAACCTTATATTTGCTTTTTATGATTAATGTTTGATTTTTTTTTTTAAATATTATCAACAATAAAGTTATTTAATTTTATACCGTGCATCGCACGGGACAATTACTAGTAAAACAAATAAATAAATAATGGGGAAAAGATTAAATAGCCCAAGATCCAAAGAATAGACCAAACACTTAAAATGGTCTAAGTCTTACAATATGGACCAGACCCGGCCCAATTTATTCCCCCATCATCTGCTTCATCTTCATTAAACAACCAGAAGACTTACCTCCTGCAGCACCGACGGGATGAACTGAAGAAGCAACCAGTGCAGCCGGACGAAGGAAGAATGGAGACAGGAGTCACAATGGCGCCACTGAAGGAGGGGAGGGAGAAGTCGACTGTTCGCTGGAAAACCCAGCACGGCTCCGCCATCTCGCCTTGCTGCAACACCTAGTGTCCTGCCGTCGTCGTCCTCAGTCACTGATGCCACCTAGAGCCCGTCGCCGGCAACTTCAACCCGCGGACACCACCACCCAACGCCCGCCGTCGTCGACACGTACGCCGCGCTCAATGACGTTGCGTCGACGGCATCGTAGGGGAAAATTGGAGAGTGACAAACGCTGAATTTTTTGTTTTTTAAGTTGTTGTTTCCTCAATTCGCCTCTCGCGGTCGCCGAAAAAAAAAAAAACGCAAATATGAGACCCAAACCGGAGAATAGGTTCTACAATAGTTAGGCACTCCATTTTTCCGGCCAAACAAATCGGCGGTCAGTGTTCCAATAGAATCACAATATATATTTAATTTCAAAAACCAAAGGAAATTAAAATTATCGTGCTTAATGTTGTTTAATGTTCGTAATTAAATTCCAAGCAATATTTTCGAAAAATAAACTATGTACAGGAAACTTTATGTACATAAAATTAATTTAATTTTTCGAAATAATTTGTAAGAGACAAATATATACAAACTTGATGTATATAAAGACATTAATGTTGATTAAGGCAAAACAATCAACTAGGCAGAGATTGACAAAGGCATGATACCAAATGTTAGATACATAATAATCTAACTATACTGAACCATAGTTTACGAGAAACCTGACCTCGTATGATAGCGGAAGCGTAGCCATGTAGATCTCCAGCCATAGTTGATGTTCCTGTTGTGTCGCCTCTTAACGGTAGACCGTTAGCCATGTTTTGCCTCAGACTTGACTCAGAACCCTAGATGGTGTATTGGTGTCTATTGAGCAGTCTGAGTACCGTAACTGAATGTGCTAACATTCAACATCCTGTATCCCATCAATCCAGGATTATATTAGGCACAGAGTTTGGTTGACTAACAACTACTAGTTATTAAGTCCAACCAGATCACTTAATAAGCCTAGTCAACTTGCATCACTTAATTAAGGCCCTAATATATAATATATAATATATAATATTAGGGAAAATATTACAAATAGAACAATGGATAGTACTATATTATGTATTCATAGTCCTTGTGGATACGATACTTGTTACTCCACCCTCTATACAATGAATGATCGGTGCACTTGTCTAGATGTTTTTGTATAATTGCAAATTCAGTATCAATCACCTAAATTTGTAACTTAGCTTAAGTAAACACGAATCGACTAAGCTCTGTCCTTGAAACAAGATGAAATGAAAATAATAATAATAATAATAATATGAAAAAATGCAAAGACAAAAGCAGGAAAGCCAGGATCATATGTCCTGGAGAGGGAGTCACCATCAATGGTTCGAAATATCACATGAGTTTACTACTTGGCTTAGGTTGACCTAGATCGGCTAAGCTCTTAGCGTAGGATGGTATTGAAAAAACAAAAGTTGAAGGCATAAGTATGAATGTCAAGATGCCTTACATCCCAAAGTGGGAGAAACAAAGAAAAGTTCAAAATATCACCTCAGTTAGTTTGTTACCTAGCATAGGTCATTCTAGATCAACTAAGCTCTAGGTGTAGGGTGATATTGAAAAAAAATAAGTAAAGCCATAAGAAAAGTTGGGAGGCCACTTGTCCTAGTGAGGGAGTAGCAAATAAAGGTTTGAAATATCACATGAGTTTTCCCACTAGCTTAGGTTCACTTGGATCAACAAAGCTCTTTGCTCATGATGGTATTATAAAAATTGAAAGCATAAGGAAGAAATGTGAGACACCAAGCATCCCAAAGGAGTAGTAAACAAAGATTCGAAATATCAATTGAGTTTTCTATGTCACTTAGGTTGATCTAGATCGAGTAAGTTCTCTACTTAGGATGATATTGGAAAAAATATAGAACACATAAAAAAGATACGCCAAGTGTTGCCAAGAGGGAGTAGCAAACAAATATAAACTGAGTTTGTTACTTGACTTAGGTCGACCTAGATCATCTAAGCTCTTAACAAAAAATGGTATTAAGAAAAAAATAAGGAGGGTGCTCGTGCCATGTGTAAGTCCCGAGGAAGTGAAAGTAGCAAATGGGTTGAAGTTCAAAGGGCTATGGTGCAGTTTTTTTTAACCAAAGTAAGAGTAGGCTAAAATAAAACATGGTGAGATGCGAGGGGCAATGATTTGGTTGCCACATAGAACTATAGAAGCGTAATGCAACTCAAGCACAAAGTCACACTTGGCACGACCGTGTGGCCTGGCTCAAGTGTGAAGCCATACCTTAGTCAATCGTGTGGGACAGACTTGAGCCCTCACCTACGACTACCATGTGCTAGGAACACCTGGCGTAGTGAGATCGTGGGGTGGGGGCATTTGGGCCTCACGCCCCCCCCCCCCCTTATAAATCGGGGGTTCCACCATGCATTTAGGCATCAGCTCCATCTTAGATAAACAACACCATTAAGCCGTCGTAGCACATGCATTAGTAGATGTGATTACCTGGTGGGGTTAGTTTCATTAATATTAAAAACTACAAATTTTTAAAATATAAACTAATTTTTAGATTTTGAGTGAACCCAATATTTTATTAATTTTATTTATTTTTAGTTATGTTACATCATGATGTAATTTTGTTCTTGATATTAGATATTAAAATTCCAAATATTCCAGTCTAGAAATGAAAAATGAAATATGTTCAAATCAATTCAAACAAATCCAAAAATAATTTTAATATTTTATCTAAAATATCACTCAAAATTTTGAATTTATGATTTCCAAACTACAATATTGAAAACAGAGAATGGAATATTAGACAATAAAAAACTGTTGGTCCCGGTAGGGTTAGAGCGAGAGTCTAGAGGGGGGGGGGGGTGTAGACTCTTTTCAATTTTCGGCAAATATCAACCTCTCGGGGTTGTAACGTAGCGGATAAATTAAATTAGTTTTAATTGCTTTGCACAGTTTGAAGTTATAACGTAACTTTCGGTTTTAGACGAATGATTATGCAATGCTTGAAAAGTAAATCACGAAAGTAAGAGGATAGAGAGACGAGAGTTTTTATAGTGGTTCGGCCAACTTTGCCTACTCCACTCTTCTTCCACAACTTATGAAAAGTTTGCACTATCACTCGTTAGTACAAATACACACAGAAGCTTCCTTGATCACTAAGCCGGACAGCTTCCTGTAGGTTTTTCAACTCCGCGAGTTTACTCCGCCTCTATCAACGTCTTCTTCAGAGTTGAGGTTGGTAAATGTTTTCTGATTTCTCCAACACGGTGAAGTCTTGACTGAGTATGGATGACTGCTTCGTACAAGATGCAAGACTTCTTCAAGGTGGAAGATGAAGATTGATGAACTTCTCTAAGAAATCTTCAGGCCTTGAAAACTAGTTCGCAAAAGCTTGGTAAGTAGATGAGCTTAGACAAGAGCTTTTGTTTGAGAATAATGATCGAGGGAAAAGAACCAGCACCTTCTAAGTTGATGAAGGTGGGTATTTATAAGTGTGGAAAATTTCATCCGTTGGAGGGAGATGAAATTTCAAACCTATTATCCATTGGGTAAGGACCGGGGAGCCTGTCGCAATAAATGCTCCATTAATGCAGCTTGTACCATGTAGCCGTTGTAGACATGAACAACCTTAGGGTTTTTGTCTTTTAGCTTCTGAAGAATAGTACAGCTTCATTTAATGCTCAGCTCCTTGGTATATGTGTCCAACACTTTAAGGTCCTTTTGTCTCCATGGTGGTTGGTCAACTCAGACAGAAGAGACATTCTTCTCATTATGGGGGAGAATGAATGTCTTAATAAATCTTCATAAAGGTTGCTATCTTGTCGAGATGGTTGATAACCTGAGGTGATCTTTCGTTGTTGAAGCCTTTGATCTCGTGCTCTTTGTCTCTTTTCGCTTTGGCAGACCTAACTAATGAACATAACTCGTTTTTCATGTGTTTGTCTAACTTAACACGAATTATAGGATGAGTTATGGCAACTTTCGTCTAGAACGAAAGCACCAATGGAAATAACGAAAGTTAGGGGTCTACATTCTAAGTTACATTGGTATCATCAAAATCCTAATACAAGTGTTCCTAACAATTTCCCCCTTTTTGATGATGCCAAAACCTATACTCTTCTCATAAGGCTGGTAAATGCCCCATAAAGGATTCTTTATTTCAAAACAGCCATTATCGAGAGTTTACAAGTCAATTCTAAAAACAATACAAATTATAAACAAGACATTGACAAGTAACTTAGACAAAGGACGCGAAAGGTGTAACAACGAATAATTCATATATGGATAAAAACACTTACAAAAAGTTTTAAGGAGAGCAGAATGTAAAGTATCTTACATTTCTAACAGTTTCTCCTTCTGCAGCTTGGCCTCCTTGTATTCACGAATGTCTATTTCTCTTTGCTCCTTGAGCATTCTGTCGCAGTCAATATGTTCATTGATACGTTCTCTGAAAACTTTGATTGGATTCGTCTTGACTAGCTCTTCATATTTTCCTTTGATGTTGAGGCTTATGTAGTTGTTGTAAGCCTCGAGAATGTTTTCTCCTTCTACAATGCCTAATTTCCACAATGAAATCAGCTCGAAGGATTGCATCCCTTCTGTGTAGCTTTTTCCAGATTCGGCATGAACTTTAAAAGCTGCATTGTATATGACTCCAGATTCAGAGTTCTTGGTCACTTTCGTGACATCTTTGATTAGCTCCTTTACTTGTTCCCTTTCCCGAGTTCATGCTTTCTTTCTAGAGCTTTTTTTTCATGCTTGTCCCATAACTCTTTGTTATTTCTCTTGATCCTTTCGTTTTGAGAGCTTATGTGGTATTGCCTTGTATGGTTATCTTTTGTCTTCATCCAGACACGGACATTACATCCTTCAAAACGTTTTCCACTTCCTTCTTCATAAGGCTTAAAGTCCACAAAATTTCCCACACCATCCATTGTTACAGATTTATCTTTCATGAGCTTTTGTCTGAGGTTCTTCTTTTCTCTCTTATAAAGTCCACTGAATATGTATTTAGATTCAGAACCGAGAGATTGGCGAGGCTTGATAGAGTGATGTCGGGATTGTGACGGTTGGTGATCACGAGACTTGGAAGCTGGAGGTGGAGGCAGAAATTTTATACTTCTTCTATCAGAATCTCTTTGTGTATCCCTATGATGATCATCATCCTTATCATCAGGATTCCTCTTTTCCCCATTTTTGGCATCATCAGCACACGTAGTAGGAGCTGGGGGAGACAGATTGCTAATGGCAGTCAAGATGTCTTGCACATATCCCAAGATTTGGAGCGAATATTGGCCCATCTGATATGAATTGTCATGTGCAGTTTCAATCTTCGTGCATGCTAAATCAACTCTCTCTTTGAGACTGAAATGAGAGTGCTTTAGTTCATGTTGTTGTCGTGCCACCTTGTTTACAACAGTTTGAAGCTCATTAAGTTCTTTCGCCAGCTGAGCTTTATAAGACCTTCTTGGTTGAGCTGACGGTTGTGGTTGAGGTTGAGCTTGAGGTGGAGGACGAGATTGAGCTTGAGCAGCCATAAGATGGTCAACCTTCTTGGACAATGCTTCCAAGGTTTGGGAATCTTTGTGGCGAAGGGACAGATATTCTTTGTGAATAACTTCGGCTATATGAACCGTGCCCATCATTAGGTTCATGACACTGCGTGGAGACATCGGTGGAGAATCGACTTCGATGTTTGTGGGCAAAGTATCCATTGGTTCCTCTCGAGGTGGTGTTTCCTTTTTGCCACCACTAGCTGAGCTGATCAGAATAGGTGAGGCATCCAGATTTCCCTCATGAATGGTAGCATCTTCTCGTTTGATTGGAGATTCGTCCATGTGATCAATGTGGGGGACGATAGCACGAGATAAATCTTCAAGAGGTGCATTGGAGATTTCTTCAGGCCTCAGTGATGCTTCCCTTTTGTCATCACCTGGGTCGATGAGTTTTGAGATAAAGATCTTTCGGGTAATGGTTCGTTATAGTCTGGGCTGACTAATAGAGGGGATTCACTGTCATAGTTCGGGTCACCCCCATTGTGGTTATCATCATCATTGCCCGAGTCATCATCATCATCAGCATCTTCAGCGCCATTATCTTCATCATCAGCATCTTCATCCTCGTCTTCTTCCTCATTGTCATCAGATTCTTCGTTCTCATCGGAAACATTTTCTTCATCAATTTCTCTGCCACTTTCGTCCTTTGATCCACTGACATCGCAATTTGGATCATTTTGGTGTGATTTCTCTAAGTCAGTCTTGATTTTGGATAGGAGCATTGCATAACGAAGTTCCTTCATTTCTTCAACGAAGGCTGGATCCAAAGGAGGCTTGTTGAGCTCTATACAAATAGGTGCCTTATCTTTCCCGAGAGTGCGGTTGGTCACTTTGTAGGAGTACACTCGTCTAATCGTTTCAAGACGCAGTGCTTCATATACATCTTTTGTGCCGATCCACTCTAAGGCGAATTCTTCTTCACCCTTCATTGCTTCAGCTGTTTCAAGAAGAGTATCTAATCGAGATGTGCGCCACTTTTGCCATTGCATGACCCTATTGTAATCATTCTCCATTGATTCTCGAAGCAGTTGATCTCTTGATGGAGGGATTAGTGCAGCTTCTGGCATTGTCACAACAGCTTTTGGGTCAGCAGCCTTTTCAGAGATCACTTTTTCATCCTCAACTACCGATGCAGGTTCTTGTGTCAGAGTATACGGTACCTGCTCTGCAAGGGTAGGTTCTTGTGGGAGGGAACTTTCGGTGGGAAGATCAGCAGCAACAATCGGGTTGGCAATCACTTCTCTCGTCTCTTCTGGCAAGCCAGGTTCTTGTGGGAGACTTAAGTGATTGACCTCCGTATCCATGACAGCAGGTTCTTGTGTCGAACATGGAGGTGTTCGTTCTGCTGAAATGGGTTCTTGTGGATGGAGGCTTTTTGGAGAACTTGCATCTGAGGGGGATCTATGCTTTCTTTTCTTGGAGGATTTCGACTTCTCTTCCCCCTTAGAAGATGCGCCTTTCGCCTGTTCTTTCTTCTTTGAAGAAGCTTCTTTCATCTCCGTCTTATCTTCCTTCTGTGAGGATGCTTCTTTCGTCTTATCTTCCCCTTGGGAAGATACTTCCTTCGTCTTATTTTCCTTCTAGGAAGATACTTCTTTCGTCTTTTCATCTAACTTTGACAAAAGAGGGGAAACAGATTTTTCTTTTACAGGAGAGCGAAATCGTCCTGTTGATCTTTGCCCGAGATTGGAGAGAATGAGATTATCATCATCATCAGAGGAATCCTCCACAATTACTGGATTCTTAGATGGAACAGGTGGTGTTTGGGTGGTTCTTTCGTCCAGAGGCTCTGTTGCTGATTTTGGTGGAGTGGATGTCGGTTGCTCTTTAGGGATCTCTTTCGTATTTACATGAGACGAACTCTTTTCTGTCTTCCTTCGTTTGGACTTCGGTTGGTCTTCTTCTGAATCTTTCGCCTTTTTAGACTTTCGTTTGGATTTGACAAGTTCCAAAGGTATTTCCAATTCCAAAGCTTTTTGCTTGTCATAACCCGTGGGCTTGTACTTCATGTGACATGCCTTCTGGCCAGGTCTTATTCCTGCTCTGAGAGGGATATTCTTCGTGGTAAGGAGATGACTTACCAGAAATCCGTACCCCAACTTCTTCGAAATGTCGCCAGGGGATGTTCTTTGATATGTGATGACATGAATAAGATTGTTGAAGATGACCTTTGACCAATCTACTTTGTGTTCATTAAGAAATGCGTGAACCATTTTCAATTTATCCTTTGTCACGTCATTTGTGTCCGATGTTTTGTGCTCTACGATCTTATTGAAGATATCAACTGTGAACTCGTAGTCCAGACGGAACCATTTCTTCTTTAAGGGCCACGTGACTACACTAGGAGCCTGCTTGTTTTTGATAAATCTGTAGAAGTCATTCTGATCATAATGGTAGAATGCGAAGTTTGGCTTGTATGACTCATCTCGTTGAGGAAAATCATAGGCTGCTCGAATGTCCTCCGATGTGATTGTCACATCCGTTTGGTTGACCCTTGAAGATACGGTGAGTCCATCCGCAGACAGACTTACATTCAGATAGAACTGAGTAACATCTGTGGGAAACCAAAACGTGTAGAGATGAACTGCAAACCTGTACAAACCAGTTTCTTGTAGAAGGGCGATAACTTTATCACCAAAGCTTCTGTCGATGACATATTCCAAGAACCCATGTGCATCCCACATACTGCCACCAGCTATGAAGTCAGTCCGTGATTCAATGAAGTTAAGGTCTTCTGTTGGGAAGGTGGGTATCTGCATTGTAGAAGGTTCTTCAGGTTCGACATCAGAGGGTGTGGTTTTGGATTTCTTAGCCATTTGAGAGAAGATTGAGATGATTGTGGTGGGAATATGGATTTGAGAGTGAAGATGAGGGAAAAGTATGAAAGATGGTATAAGGTTTGCTTATGTAGGGTTGACGAGGTTCTAGGGTATAGGGAAAAACGGGTGACCCATGTGAGTTGTGGATGGTTTGAATTTCGAAATTCAATCGGTTCCAATTCCACTAAAAGGGTAACTGATCTGGTGATAAAAATCTGATAAGATCAATTGCAGATCAATTTCGATCATTCCTCATTAAAGAGGAGAGAGAAAACCACTTGAGTACCCGTATGTGCATTAAATGCGGGTCAGATCAGTCTGACAGAGATCATGGGGTAGTGGATCGGTTTTCTCGGCCACACGATGCCCACCGAGAATGTGCATTAACGGTTCAAATGAGCTAGATAAGATGTATCTTCTTGAGCACGCTTCACATCCGAAATATAACATATTTTACTTCACATGAAGGGACGAGTTCAAGAAACAAATAAAGTTTCGTGAACTCAAACAGAACATACAACGAAAGTACATGACATAGCCCGAGAGATGATTATTACACGAAACATAGATATTAGACACTTGACTACATCTCTCGTGATTCAAGCTGCATGAGCTTTCATTCTTTACCAGCCCTCTTCTTTCGGGCAAACTCAGCATTTTGCATCTTGAGGATTTGAAGAGCAAACACTTCATCCACAATCTTTTCGTGATCAGTCCCCATAGCATCTCGAGAAAGTCCCCTCTTTTCCATATCATCCAGTTCAGTTTTGACCCTTGCTTGAGCAGCAGCATGTATTGCTGTATATTTCTCTTCAGATTTGAGTTGAGGTGCTAGCTTCACAAGAGAGAGATAGTGAGAGAGACCCGAGACCTTGGTGAATCCGTCACACTATATGATAGGAAATGGTCCAAAGAGTTTTTAGTCTAGCTAAAATGTAATTAATTTAAAACAAAATAAATTAGCCAACAAGGTTTTAATGTGTACTAAATCTGTACACTTACAATATCCCCTTTGACAATTTATTTGGTAAAACTATAGTATCTTATACTTTGGGCAAATAAGAAAAACAAATTAATTTTATTCAAGGCACTTAGTAAATGTACTAAACAATACCTTAAGGAGAGATTAAATATCCAATTACCCAAAAACTCCTTTGGACCATGTCCCATCCATGTACCCATTATATCACAATTCACAGAACCTGTACTGTCGAGGAATTCATGAGGTATCACAATTCAGAGTCAAGAAATTTCCCAAAATACCACACAATACACGGATATATTATGTCATCAAAAATTTAAGTAACATACTTTTTATTGGTAATTTAGAGGTTTCATTAAAAAAAAATTATATATCCTACACAATAAGTAAAATTGAGAATTAACTTATATATATAGTAGTAGAAATGCATAAATATTTTGATGTTCTAATAGTTTAGTGAATATGGGCAACCTCAATAGTGAGGTATTTTTAAGGAATTTTGTCATAGCCGTGTAGGAGAGGGGGTAGAGGGAAGAGAAAAAGGGAGGAAAAAAAATAAAAAATAAAAAAATAAAAGCCTGACGTGAAAAAAAAAAAAGTCTATATATGCACGCTCCCAGTTGGCACGTGCACTGCACGCACCGGCTGGGCATAGTAGGTGCGCCTGCAACTCCTTTGGCTTTCTTTAATCTATGCAAGAGGGACCAGTTTGAACTCCATATTGCAGGAATAAAATCTCCTAAAAAAAGCTAACCTTCCCATTTGTGAAGATCCATTTTACTGTTCCAAAATCTCCCCAAAATCCCCTTTTGGAGATGCCCTAAGTCCATTGCTCTTAGTATTTGGTTTAAAATCAATCCTCAATCCTCTTATATGTATACACACACACACACAAGACTTAAAGAATCACCTACTTAGGAGCTTGTGAACAAACAGTTGGTGTCATTGAGGAAAGGAAGTTTTGGAGATTTGAATGTTCAAAGAACAAAGGAGCAGAAAGGGAAGAAAAAACAGACATTTTTTTTATCAAGATTGAAATCAAGATGTCAAACACGCTGGATTTTCTTCTCCGGCGACAACTTTTTGATAAACTAGTCAATTGGACAATGAACCTAATAAAACATTTTTTTTATTTAATTTGACACAGTTACAATATAAATCATTCGATTCCCATAATCCAATGGATTACAAAGAGAAAAATATTATAAATGATTATTCAAAAACAATGAATTCACAAAATAAAGGTCAAAATTAAGGATGCTCAAAATCTATTTTATATCGTCACAGGGTAAAACAATAACTACTTTGGAAACACATTTAATGCAAATATCATTAATTGGACGGTTGAGGACCAAAATGAATTCCCAATATTTTCTAATGGAAGCGGTATTGAGTCTTTGTGCTTCAGAAAATTAAGAAAGTAGTTATGAACAGATATTACATTACAACAAAGTCAGTAGTACTCAAAAAAAAAAAAAAAAGTTATCAGACATCAATTAAGTCAAAATATTGACTCAAAATCTAAATATGAAAAATAAAAGTTTTATACTCATTCTTTTTTACTTATTTTATTTAGTATTTTTTAATTATTTTTAATTTAATTTTCTGTGTTTAATAATACTTTTAATATAGTTTCTAAATATATAAATTTTATATATTAATACTGAGCTTAATATATGATGAAAAATGAATTAAAATAAATTCAGTCAAGTCTCGTTCGTTTGTCGAACTAGACACAAAATAGGACGAAAAGAGAGTAAATATTTTAAAAACTAAATGTAATTACTTCACAACTATCAAAACTATGTGAGTGTTGATAAATACTATTTTTAATAAATAGTTATTTAAAAGTAATGAATTTCAATTAACAAAGCAATAATAAACATATATAATGTGTGTGTATGTGAGTGGGCATACATTAAACTCAAATGCTAGCTTTATATGGCCATAAATGCATCCGTTTTCTGACTTGCTAAAGTGCTTTGCTTCATGGCTGCTGACGATGATGTTGGAAAAATAAATGGTTTCTTCAATAATTCCGTAAATTTGTAACAATGATAAACTTTGTTAATTTTGAACGCTCTTAGCACCGTACTCTTATATTAAAACTGATTCTGTAAAAAATAAACGCTCTTAGCACCGTACTCTCGTAAAGTAGCGAATCGGTTTTAAGAAAATTATGTACACATGACTCCGATTTCTCTTTTTCTTGTGTTGGAAATAAATTCTTTGTTACATATCAAGTTTTTGGTTAGGATTAATTTTCTAAAAAAAATAAATTTTTTGTGCTAGTTTTGTTTAGATTATTTTTCCGTAAAATAAATTCATTTTTTAATTAATATATATATATATATATATATATATATATATATATATATATATATATATATATATATTTGATATATATTGTTTTGGTTTCGTTAACTATTATTTTTTTTTTCAAATGGATTATTTCACTCAAAATGATGTCGTTTTGAACAAAATAACTCTAAGTCATTAAAACCCAAGATTTTGTTAGGATAATGTTTAATATTTTAATATTAACTATTAAAGTATTAAATAGTTTATAACTATCAAGTCTTAAAAAATTTTAAAAATAAAAAGAAATTAAACATATTTTTAAAAAATAATAAAATAATAAAAATACACGAGCACTTAGGCTCCAATTATGCACTCTTGGCGCTAGGTGCATGGG